CATGCATAATACACCTCAACTAAATTTTAAAGCTAATAAAGATAATTTAAAAAATTTAATGGTATTTTTTACGATGTCAAATAAATTTTTTTTATTCATCAATTCTTTCGAAACTTCAAACTGCAAAAATAAAAATGCATTTCATTAACATATATTAAAATTGCAATTCTTCCTATTCACCATCAATTCCTTATGAGTTATGTTGTATCTATTAATTAAATAATTAGACTTTATTTGATATTTAGTTGGTTTTATAATGTTATGTAGCAACCATGCAATTATGGTGAATAAGAAGAGTTGCAAAATTCCCCAATAATATAAAAAATGCAACTCTTCCTATTCACCATTATTGCAGGGTTGGTACAAAACTAAATATCAAATAAAGTCTAATTATTTAATTAGCAGATACAACATAACGTATAAGGAATTATTTAATTGGTAATTCGTCCGGAAAAAAAATGCAGGAAACTTCATAATTAATATTAATACTAAAACTAATCCGACCAATACAGCTTCAAATTAAGAAAGAAAACACAGCAACATATCATGATCTGTGTACCATGATGCAGTTCCAGCATATTCATCGCTTCGGAAACTAGGGTTTCGATGTCTTCGTCCTGCGTTAAACTTACCTGCTTCGTTGACCAAGTCAACACAATCGGGGCATCTTCTCTCTCTCTCTCGAACACCTCACTATCAGGCACATGCAATGCAAGATACCACATTATTATCAACGACGAAATCTGCTCCATTGATTTTGCCCATGCAGCAAACCCTGTCGAGCGAATTAATCGGGGCCCGCAAGTTTTTGCAGCATCATCGCCACCTCAGCGAAGACCGGCGCCCATTCATACTCGAGAAGATAGAGTACTAACAGGCGGATCAATAATTCGGTCTCGTCCCTAAGGAAAAAAGATCCGGCCAAATATCCGATTGATCTAATGATCGAAATCGGGTTTTTCTAGGGTTTTTAATGTCGTCAATCATCACCATGAAATCACTTTCGGGGATATATTGTCGAAATTTCTATAATTTAATTTTGAGATCCAATTTTATTTCAAAACATGAAACTCAAAATTTTGAAGCCAAAAAAAAAAAAAAAAAAAAATCGTGATTGTTTCCAATATAAACAACATTACATATGATCATATGCTACAACATTCTATTTTCACTCTACACACAATTACCAAACCCTATATCTACACTAAATATAATATAACAAGTATGATTGTATATATATCATAAGTAAAACTTCAAGAATCTATACACAAAACAAAACAAAAATCAATCAGTGGTAATTTTTAGAGCTTCTAGATTGATAAAGCTCCAATCTCTTCTTCGCCTCGTAAACCAAAGTCGTGATCTCTTCATCCTGCATGAGATTCGACTGCTTAGTCGACCACTCGAGCACAATCAGCACATCGTCCTGCGCCAGGGTGTCGCTATCCGGCACATGCAGCGCAAGATAGCAAAGCAGTATGAACGAAGGAATCTGGACCATCTGTTCCCCAAAGTAAACTAACGGCACCAGATGCTTCGCCCCACCGGCCTCGATTATCGCCTTGCAGTGATACTCATGTAAATAATTCTCGGGGCACGCGAATTTCCGCAGAGCGATCGCCACCTCGGCCGTGATGTCGGGCTCCCAGCTCTCGTCGAGTAGGTTGACCAAGGGCCGGATGAATCTCGTCTCCGTCGCCCGGAAGGTTCTAGAGAGATTCCCGATTGACCGGATACTCGAAACTAGTAATTCCGGGTCGGGTTTTTCGACGATTGCGAGGAATTGGTCGACGACCGCTTTCGCGACGGGGGCGGTTGGTTTGAACGCGGAGCGTCTTAGGTCGGCGTCTTGTTCGGCGACTGCGGTGATTTCCATTAGCGCCATGGCGGAGTGGTACTTGACTTCTTCGTGGCCCTTTTCAAGGAGTACCGCTAGGCAGAGGAGGGCTCGGCTTTCGGTTATGCTGCGGCAGATAGTTACGTTCCCGGCGCAGAGGTAGCGGAGGGCTCTTGCCGCCATGGATTTCATTTCGGCTTTCGTCGTCGGGTCTTCGAATTCCCTGCGTTTGATGCTGCTCCCGGGGAGCGGGTGGTGGTGGTGGTGGTGTTGGTGCTTTTGTTTTTGGCTGTGGTTGTGGTGGTTCTTGGGGGTGGTGTGATCCTGACCGGGATCTTTTTGGTACATACTCGATTTAATTGCCATGGTGTTTGCGACCACGTTTTGCATTTGGTTGTTGGAGTTGTTTTCGTGACCACCCATCGGGTGGCTGATGTGGGTGGTTGTTGTTGTCTGAAACTCCGGTTCCCCGGCGGCGGCACCGGAGTTCCGGTCGTTTTTGGTGTTGGAACTTGACATGACAATGGAGTGGATTGACATGGATTGTTTGCTTGGTATGGAGTATTTGCTGTGTTCTTGGATTGTTTCGAAGGCGAGGTGGCTGACGAGTAATCGGATGACGTTGTTCTGCGCGAAGGGGTCTTGGCATTTGCGGTGGTGCGCGGCCAATTCCGACACGGCCCACGCCACCACGATCTGCACTTTCATGTGTCCTTCTTTGAGAATTTTCGCAAACACCTGGCAGGCACCGGCGTTCACGATTTGTTCGACGCTTTCCGGATCTTTTCCGAGGAGGCCGATTGCCCTGGCGGCGTTCTCCTGCCCCTCCATTCTTCCTTCCTTGGCCAATTTCAGCAGCGGCGCAACGCCGCCTTCCTCGATTATCAAGCTGCCGTACCGATCGTTGTCGCGGGCTAACGAAACCAGGGACGCGGCGGCGTCGGTTCGCTCCTCGATTGAGCCGGAGCAGAGGATCGCGATCTGCTCCCAAATTAAACAGAGGATCGGCTCGTTGGCGGCGATTGGGGGAAGGCCGCCGAGGTAATCGTCGTCGTTTTCGTTGGGGGAGGAGACGCGGAGGAGCCAGGAGACGTCGCCGGTGGAGTTCTCGAGCTGCTGGGAGATTTTCCGGAAGGCGGCGGCGGGGATGATGGTGAAGATGCGGCGGAGGCCGTTGGCGCGGCACTTGAAGACTAGGGTTAGGGCCTTGTCGAGCACCTGCTCCGTGTCGTCGATGATGCGGCGCGTGGGACGCTCGTAGAGGTCTCCGCTTGCACGCGCCGCCTGACGGAGGAGGCTGGCGAGCTTCTCCGTCTTCCCCTTGATCTCCAGGCACTCCTGCCGGAAAGAGCTGGCTTGGTCCGCCGTCTTCACCACCTCGTCGGCGTACTGTATCGGCTTCGCGAGGATTTGCTTCACTATGTCCGCCATTATCACAGCGGACTCAAACCCTACACCACACCGTCGGAATTATAATATATATATAAATCAATCCGTATTTTTTTTTTATTTTTTTTTTCTGTATTAATGAAAGGGGGTTTAGGAAAATGAAAGAAGAGAGAGAAAGTGGGGGAGGGGTGGCGGCGGCGGCGGTGGTGGTGGTGGTGGGATGGTTGAAGATGGGAGTGGTGAAACGTAATTGTCTCTGTGAATTTTTCATTTTTTTCTTTTTTTATGAAAAGTGAGTGTTACAACCTTATTCATAGGGACTCTTCTATGGTTGACCTTTTTTCACCTCAAAAGATTATTTCGACAATGAGTACTCCTATTGTTATATATTGTACAAACCAGTCCCATTTTTTCAAGTTATGTTACTTTTATGTCCTATTTCTAGGAATATTATCTCCAGTTGTATTTAAAAAGGGTAAATTCCACTTTACCCCTTGTACTTTGGTTGGATATCACTTTACCCTCTTATACTCTCAATTGCATCGATTTGCCCCCTTGTACTTTGGTTCGATATCACTTTACCCCCTTCCACTCTCAATTCATCGATTTGCCCCCTTGTACTTTGGCTCGATATCACTTTACCCCCTTCTACTCTCAATTGCATCGATTTGCCCCCCTTACTTGAAAAATTGTCTCAATGTGGCCCTCGACGTTAGTTTTCAGACCTTTGTCCTTAACACCGTTTGATTTAAGTATGAAAATTACTAAAATGTCACCCCTCCAGTTTAAATAATTATTAAAAAAATTAAAAAATAAAAAACAACAAAAAATAAAATAATAAAAAATTCAAAACATCGAGAAAATATAGTCCACGATGGCAACCACAATTTTTTTTTATTAATAATTATTTAAACTGGGAGGGGTGGCTTTTTTGTAGTTTTCAAACTTAGATCAAACGGTGTTAAGGTCAAATGTTTGAAAACTAACGGCAAGGGCCACATTGAGATAATTTTTCAAGTACATGGGGCAAATCGATGCAATTGAGAGTAGAATGGGGTAAAGTGATATCGAACCAAACACAAGGGGGCAAATCGATGAATTGAGAGTAGAAGGGGGTAAAATGATATCGAACCAAAATACAAGAGGGCAAATCGATGCAATTGAGAGTACAAAGGAGTAAAGTGATATCCATCCAAAATACAAGGGGTAAAGTGGAATTTACCCTATTTAAAATCACCAACTTCTATTTTTTGCGCAAAAAACTTTTACAAACTCTTCGTATGTAATAAGTTTACAAAGTTAGCATTTTTTGTCACGTTTCAATTAGATTTTGAATTTTACCCGTTGATTAATGATGTGGCTACTGGCTAACAAACACGTCGAAATATGGACGTTTTAAATATTACAATTGTGCATCTAACTTTGTTTACAAATTTGTCCTGTCGCATGATTAAAATTCTATCGAGGCTAAGTTGAATGTCGAATTTACAAATTCTAAGTATCCTTATAAGTAAAATCCGTCAAATTTATTCGCCGTGCCATGATCACTACCCCATGATGCATAATAAACATCAAACACCCCCTGCCGTTAGCCTTTTTTTCCTGATTCCGTTAGTCAAACCCTTCGACCGGTTGTTTTAAAAGAGTTGTTGGCTTTTATTTGAAGAAAATACCCCGAAATTTTTCTACGCTTAGTTTTGAATACTTTTCATCAATTTTTTCACTCTTTTCGGTCTTTTTTTTTTTTTTTCATTTTTCCAGTTTTTGAACTTTTCTCAATGTTTCTACATAGAAAAAAAAAAAAGTAGATTTTTTTTTTAATTTCCCTAAAATTGAAAGGAAACCCTAATTAATTTGAAAGAATTACAAATTAAAAACAAAGTTCTTCATATTTACCGCAAAACCCCGCCAAAAAAAGAAAACTGAAAATCCCCAAAATCAAACTCCCAAATCGACAAAAAAACCCATAAGTTTAACGAACTAAAATCATCAATAATCCACAAAAAATACACCTCATTTTTACTTAAAATCGTATCCATTACCTTCTAAGTTCATTGGATTAAAGTGGGGTAAAAGAGTTATTGCACACTCATATTTAACATCGTTAGGACGAGAAATACTATATGTACAATTGAAACATCGCAAGTTAGTGGACTAAATCCTGAAATAGGGATTACATAAAGGATCAAACTGCAATTCTCCGAAACAAAAAAATATTCAGACAAGCTTAATTAATAATATTCCCGGCGGTGGTCGTGGGCGGCCAACTCCGACAAAGCCCACGCCACCACTATCTGCACATTGACGTGCCCTTCTTTGAGAATTTTCGCAAACACCTTCCACGCGCCGGCGTTCGTGATTTTGTCGACGCTTTTTGGATCCCTTCCGGCGAGGCCGATTACCCTGGCGGCGTTGACCTGGTCTTCGGTTCTCCCTTCTTCCGCCAACTTCAGCAGCGGCGCGACGCCGCCTTCTTCGATTATTAACTGTCCGTACCAATCATTGTCACTAGCTAATACTACCAGGAACGCGGCGGCGCCGGTTCGCTCTTCGATCGAACCGTAGCAGAGGATGGAGATCTGCTCCCAGATGAGGCAGATGATCGGCTGCGGGGCGGCGATGGGTGGGAGGCCGAAGTACACGCCGCCTGGGTAACGGTCGTCGTCGTCGGGGGCGGCGTCGATGAGCCAGGTGACGTCGCCGATTGAGCTGCTGAGCTGCGAGGAGATCACGACGAAGGCGGCGGTGGGTGTGGTGGTACAGGCGGTGAAGACGCGGCGGAGGGCGCTGGCGCGGCACTTGCTGACGAGGGCGAGGGCATCGTCGAGGACCTGGTCGGTGTTGTAGATGATGCGGCGCGTGGGACGCTCGTAGAGGTCGTGTTGTGCACGCGCCGCCGCGCGGCGGAGCAGGGGGATCCTGAATGAGAGATACTCCGTCTTGGACTTGATATCCAGGCAGTCTTGCTGGAAAACGCTGGCTCGCTCCGCCGTCTTCACAACCTCGTCGGCTTTCTGCTTCAGCTTCGTCAGGATTTCGATTACTGTGTCCGCCATTAATTATAATTCTTTCTTTTTGGATTATTTCTGGTTTTAATTATTCCTTTAAATTAAAGAAATATTATTTTCAGTTGTAATTACGTAAGGAAGAAGATAAATATATGGTTCAGCTGCATGCATGCATGCATGTGATCAGATCAATCAATTTCTTTTTCTTCCCGGCCTGTTTAAATGTTTGTTGAAGATGAAAGATGAGAGAGAAACGGGAGGAGGAGTGGTGGTGGAGGCGGCGGCGGCAGTAGCGGTGGTGGTGGTGGTGAGAGAGTGATATATGGTTGAAGATGGGAGTGGTGAAACGTAATTGTCTCTGCTCTGATTTTTTTTTATTTTTTTTTTTGTCATTTTCTTTTTCTTCAATAAAAAATGACTGTTACAACCTTATTTATAGGGACCATAGTTTGTGGTCGGTTTATACCCGATGAAATATATTGGGGTTTTTTGCACTTTGCACCCTTGAATTACACATTTTTGGTACTTTGCACCCTTAAATTATAAAATTGGCAGATTGCACCCTTTAAACATAAATTGTTTGGCACTTTGCACCCCAAATCACTTTTGGCTTAGAAAAATTCCTTGCAACTTGCTGGAAACCTGGAAGATTGACAAATTCATAATTTTCTTTTTATCTATCATCTTCCATCAATTATTAATCACCGTTCCACCATTTTTATCTTTCGTCCCTTCAATCAAAAAATCCTAAAATCTTTTTAGCAATTTCTTTCAATGGTAAAATCGGTATAAACACTAAACAATAATAGTAAATACATACAAATACACATACATCCATATTGGTATATGTAGAAAAAATAATAAGCAACAGTTTAATTAAAATAAATTGAAGAAAAATAAAAATAAAAATAAATGCATCCCGCAACATATATACAACTTACATATACAATTTACAAATTTTATTTGTAAAGTTTAGTTGCATTAACGAGCAAAAGTTTAGCAGGAAAACATGTATTTCATGTAATTTTACTATGAAGTTAGACAGTTTAAAAAGCTTATTTACATAGCTTAGTTACATAACTTATTTAGTTAAAATAAGCGAAAGAAAAAAAAAAATATATTTGGTGTCTACATCATCACCAACATTACCATCACCGGCACCAAACAATTCTTTCTATTTTTCCTTTTTGATTTCCATGATTTTAGGTTACGACAGAGACGAATGAATATAACCAAAACCGTTTGTGTGTACGTGTGTATGACTGTGTACCTGTGTATGGTTGTGTACTTGTGTATGCAGGTGTGTGATTATGTGTTTGCTCGTTGTGTGGCAGCAAAGCTTCGATGATGGCAGCGATGGAGAGCGAGAGTAGAGCAAATTTAACGGAGTATAGTGGAGTTGGACGAAATTCGACGAAGAACAGTTATATTAGACGCGATACGTGAAGAATAAAGGACTTTTAGCAAATTGCGAAAATTCGACTGTCATGATTTGAAATACTATTAACGTCAAGGGTGTTTAACAATTTGTCCCATTTCTAAAACATCTTTGTTGCAATTTTTCAAGTTTAAATGCTTTTTTTTTTAATTAATAGAAAGATGTATAAGAGCCTGTTTGACTAAGCTTATAAGCTCCTAAAAACATCTTATAAGATGTTTAGGAGCTTATAAGTTGTTAAAAGGTGTTTGGTAACAAAATTGCAAAAGATCTTATTTTTTCCAAAAATAAGCTGTTAGGGAGTTTATAAGATGTTTTTAAAAAAGTACCTCTACCCCACCTTTTTTCTTTAAGATCTTATTTGGTTCTTTACTAAAACACTTAAAATACAAAATTACCCTCAAATACTTTATTATATTACATGAATACTAATAATATTTATATTTTATCAAAACAACGTATCCTTGTAATCAAGATTAATAATTAGTTAAATATAATTTTCGTAATTATCATAATAATTGTAAAAAAAATTTATTCCCTATTTATATTTTATATGTATATAAAAATACACGAATATTCTTATTATCTCCATACTAAATTATATTTCTTTCATCTACAAAAAAAAAAATTATATTTCTTTTACAACTTTTATTTTATATTATTATTATTATTTGAAAAAATAATTTGTAAATATTATAATAATATTTTAGGAACAAAAGTATTTGAGTCAAATAAGTTTAACAATTATACTGGCGTCATGTACTTTTTTGTCATTATAGCAATAAACAGACCTTTTATTTCCAAACAGCTGAACAACTTATAAAAACAAAAAGTAACTTATAAGCTACATATCCAAACACCTTAAAAATTAATTTTTAAAATAAGATCTAACAGCTTATCAGCTCCTAAAACATCTTATCAGATGTAGGAGCTTATAAGATGTTTTAAACAGTGTTCTAAATATCGGTCGTGGCGGTCGATATATCGGCCGCCATATCGGTATCGGTTATAAACCTTTACGATTTTGTTGAGGCGGTTTGGAATATCGGTTTTTTACGGCGAGGCGGTTTTTTGGCGGGTCAAACCGATATATCGGTCAACAAATCGGTTTTTTTTTTTTTTTTTATTTAAATTAAAATGAAAATATGTTTTGATTTTTTGTTTTTCTCCAATTCTTTCAACTTCCAAAACCAAACCAAGTACTACCCCGCAATTTATGTTTTGTTGTGTTTATATTAATTGTTGATGCGAAAGACTTGTCTGGTATTTGTATTTCGTAAGAATCTTTTATTATATTATGATCTTATTGTTTTTAAATTTTTGTTATTTATTGAGTAATTAGAATTATATAATAAAATATGAATGATAGGATAGAATTATGTTTAAATATTCTTTTATATATATTTTGAGTATTTACAAATAATATTTAGAAATATATTACACTAAATTTAAAAACCGATATATTTCCGATTTATCTCCGATAAATCACCGCCGCGCCGATTGATCGTGTGGCGGTCCCTAACCGCCACGTACCCGATAACCGCCTTTTAGAACCTTGGTTTTAAATAAGCTTAGCCAAACGAGCTCTAAGACATTTGAGCATTTACTTTTTTTTTTAATTAATTGAAAACTAAAGTTTATTTGCTAAACAATACAGCTTTTCAAGTAACCGGATTAACGGTATATCATGTTTTAGAATTTATAAACACCCCCAATTTATAGAAATAACCAATTATTCACGAATAATCCGAAGTTTATTCGATCCACCAAATACGAACTCCAACGAGCGGGAAAAAAAAATTCAAAACGTCGAGATAATTTTCTATAACATAGTGTTTTTTTTTAGTGATACATGTAAATATGTAATAGATTTCTCTTCCTCTTTCCTACAAACTATCAAATAATGTTAGGACATACCTTTAACTTTTTAAGCCTGTGGTTTTCCCCTCAGAAATGGGCAAATTCTTTATTTTCGATTTTCCTCTCATAAATATATATATATATATATATATATATATATATATATATATATATATATATATATATAATTTTCTGGAAGAAATATATAAAATTATACCGAAAGCCATAGTCCACAATAGCCAGAAATACTGCACGATCTCCGTCTGCAAGAAATCGAATCAACACCACAATCCTCGTCAGCAAGGCACCTGTGGTGGGCCCGCGCGTCAGGAACGTGACAAATGCTCTCGACTGGCTGGCGCCCGTTTCCGCAGTTGAGCGCCGGACATATTTTCATCGACATTGCACTTGCTCGTTTTTGTTGCTCTTCGCCCTGCAATTAATTCAATATCATCCAATTTAACGAAACGTAAATTTAGAAACTGAATTAGAGAGAGAAAGTAAGCAAATCAATCACCTTGAGAGATGTCCAATTACTTGGAATATAGGCCTCGGGAAGTCTCTCGTGCCACGAGCTTAAAATCGGGAGCGGGTGACCTTCCGTCGTAAATACGTAATTTGTATTCACCAAAAACGAATCATCAAATAGAAGATACAAGTACTTGCACCTACACAACAAATAAAAAATACGTTTAGAGAAATTTTATATATATATATATATATATATATATATATATATATATATATATATATATATATATGGTAAACTCACGTCTCGGCGAGAAAGAAACTATGCTGGTGATCTTCCAACTCCATAGTTGTGACATCTCTAATGCTAGCAAAGCCAGCTTCGACTCGTGTGTGTAAATTGAGGGAATCTACGATCGATTCGCCTACTTCTAGATACCATGGATCTGACGATAACGAAGGGTTTATTATAGTCAAATTAATGTAATAAATATTATTACAAGTAAAGTGAAATGGAATCGTAAAATACAGTTTTATAGCAGTCTTAATTTTTCAATTAAAAAAATGATATTTTTTTTTCTCGCAACTTTCACGAAGTTCAAGTAATTTGGTGTTATATTTGATGCACCAATAGAAAGAATGATGGGTTAATTCCCATATGTTTACTCAAATTGTTATACAACTCCCCTGTGTTATTTTTATTTAGTAAAAGCCCCCTATGATGCATTTTATTTAGCAAATTACCCCCTACATAAAAACTAATCATTTAGGGGATCATGTGCTAAAAAAGTGCATCGGTAATATCACGGAGAGTTTTTTTTTTAACAATTTGAAATAACACGTGTTTTTTTTGCCATCATAGAATCAACATAAAACTACAAAATACTATTAGAACTTCATATTACACCGACTCCCGAAAAAAATACTAACATACCTTTGGTTGCTTGATAGAGGTAAAATGTCGATTCTGCCAACTCGGGTCGTAATGGATAGTATTTCTCTGTAGGATGCAGCATTTGATGATCCAGTAGATATCTAAATTATATGACATCAGTCAACAATTACAAGTACGAAAAAGAATTCTTTAAAAAAAGATTAAATTAATATAAATAAAAATAACAAAACACGATACCTCTCTGGCAATACGCCAAATTGTTGCCATACATAGAAAAATTCACGGTGCGATGAATTAGCAGCAGCTATGTCCCCTGCAAGAACCTGACTACCCGTAATTAAAAATCAAGAATTTCTAGAATTATTCAAAATTAAAAAAAAAAAAAAAAAAAAAAGGATAAAGGTAGATTTTGCCAATATACCTGAAGACCAGGCCAAAATGCCTGCAGGCTCGTAAGTTGCCAGTAAGTTGCTCGCCCTGTTCTCATGTCAGCTTCATGGTACCTAATAAAGAAGTAATTTTTTTTTCGGATTTTATTTACTAGGTAAACGGAATAATTTACACCGAAAACGGAATTAATTTGATTGAGTTTATTACCAAGGACCGTGTCTGAAATATTTCTGCACAGCGAGATATGCAGACTGAAACATCCTCCAAAATTCTTCCCTTCCAAATAAAAGGTGGGCTTTCAGTAAATATTCGTAAAACGAATCGACCCCTGGAAGAGATAACAACGAGAATGGGATTAAATATGTATTAAAAAAAGGGTTATGAGAAAAAAAATAAAAAATTATATATATGTAGCAATCTAGGAAAGCGTACCAGCACCAATCCCAGACGAGTACTCAATCCACTCCCCAGTTTGTACATCGAGTGTTGTTCCTAAAAGATTTAAAGAACTCCTCATACTCCATAGCTTTCGAAGAGCTCGTAAAGCAGCAGATTCGAATTTTGGGTCACCGGTCAAATGCGACAGTGCTCCCATTTCAAGAATTAGAGAACCTAAAACCGAGATACCAGAATTCAGCATTTATCAAGAAACTGATACAATACCACAGGTGAAGTGTAAGCGCTTGTGTGTGTGTGTGTGTGTGTGTGTGTGTGTGTGTGTGTGTGTGTGTGTGTGTGTGTGTGTGAGAGAGAGAGAGAGAGAGAGAGAGAGAGAGAGAGAGAGAGAGAGAGAGAGAGAGAGAGAGAGAGAGAATCTCCATACCACAACCAGATGTGCTTGTTTCGGTTGTCTCCTTCTCCATCACACCATACTGTACACAGAATTTTGCAGGTATACACGGTAAGAAAGAATATACATATAGTGCCAAGACAGCTCGTACAAAAAGGAGAAAGTAAATAAAAGATTTTTCAGAATCGGGATTTTTTTATTTTTTTTTATCATACATACATCGAAAAACATTAAAGTAGTACCTTAAGATTGACCCATGCATAAGGCAACCCAGTCGGGGTATCAAAAGCAGGTAAAAAACGATTCCCCAACTCCTCAGCCAAAACGAGAAGCTGATTTCGATAACTTCCTTTTTTCGTAAACCTGTTTGTAGAATCAGTTGCAAGAATATGAGCAGACACAAGTCCCCCAAGTACTCTTATGTTGCACTACACAAATATCCGGCAAACGGGAAAAAGAAAGAAAGAAAGAAAAAACAATCAAAACACTCCAATAATATATCATATTATTAATAACACAAATACGTTGTTCTTACACGACATTCCGGATATTTAAAAAAAACCAAGAAGAAGCTAATATTAAACCGAGTTCCTCAATGAATTAAAACACTCGATAATACGTTACCTCAAAAAGATTTATCCTCGCATCAACATCAAATGTTAGATTTTCAGACAGCCATAAAACTGACTTTTCGAACTCGGTTTCGTTTCCCATTATCACAAGGCTGATAGTTCGAAGAGAGAGAAAAAGGTTAAAGCTTTGATTTTGATTAACACGAAACTCGGTAAGAATTTAAATATGGAACCTGGACAATGATTCGATAAGTGTAAGAGCTGTTCCATTATACTCTTGCGGTAGATGTTCGAGCTGAAATTTAAAAGAACAGAAGTTATTCGACACAGCTTTAACCTTTCACAAAATACTCGGGGTAAAATACGCACCTTTAAATTTCCGAGCTCACTTAGCGAATTTGTGTAAGTTTTTGTAAGAGGCTTCAATTCGTCATGCTGAAAAAAGTACGTAATTTTACTTAATCCAAGTTGATTAGGGTAAGAGAATTTAAAAACGGAATATAGAAATTATGTAATTGAAGACTAACCGGGAAAGCATACATCATGTAGTTGTCGTACGCATGGTAAAACCTGATATAAAAAACGGTACAAGTTAATATATACTTCAACCAAAGTTTAAGAGTTTATATTCGGTCTTTCTCTTTTGCTCCTATACTTCAAATTCTTTCGTCCTACGCCAAAATACAGTTGTAATAATACCCTATAAACACATCTACCATGTCATTAATTGCTATGGTTTAAAACGTATGCCAAAAAAAGATTTCGGCTGCCACTAAGTTACACTTCGGTCTTTCTAACATAAATGGTAGACGAAATCTCGATATTTGAATTTATTTGAATTTTTTTGACAAACCCGAAAAGGTTAACAAGAAAAGATTAAGAATTACCAAGAACTCCACTAACCCTAAACAAATATTTTGACAGAGGTTGGTCAAAGTTAACTCTATTAGCAAATCCTTAAATACAACACCACAAAAACCGAGATCTTATCTAACGGCTCAAACATATAAATTATTTCCAAATTATATATATCCGATTACTACTTCTGCCGGGAAATGACACCTTACACTTGTCATTCTTAGCTGCAACCTTCGGGAAACACTTTTGAAGAGGAATATAATGTATAAAACCGAATCGTTGCCTCCAAACCGAATCAAACGATTGTACACCTTTGTAATATAATTGCACACGAAAGTTCGGATTTTAACTTGTTCGACACTAAATCATCAAAAATATCCCTATTTCTCATTATATGATCATAAAACCCATCATCGAAATTAGCAGGTAATCTTTTATTTACGATTGCATCGTCGAAACACAGGCCAATTAGTACCAAAATTACTCAATGCAGCACATCACAAGCAATTACTCCACAATCATAGCACACATTAATCAATCAGTTCACACAGAAAAATAAAAATAATAAAAAATAAGTCAATTGAAACCGAAACCCAAAATCCGAAACCCGAAAACCCAGAAACCCGAAAACTAAAATTTGCAAGAAGAAAACAGAGAAGATAGAAAGATTACATCTTGCGAACTTTATCACTCATCCGCTTCTTCTTGACTGCAAAAGGGTCCAGCTTCGACGAGGATGTTTCGATGAACAACGTTTGACTAATCACAAGAAATATCATAGCCCATGTCTTTATATCTACAGTCGACATGATTTCAGCTGTGTGCGCATCAAATTGAATCCCACAAATAATTCAATTTTGTGGGTCTTGATTTTTGAATGAACTAAATCTTTATACCATCAAGAAATGGAAGGAGGGTATTAGGTTTTCGATCCGAGCCTGGGATTATGGTTTTAGGGCAACGAGGTAGAATTACAGTGATCTTTTTCTCTCTGTCGGAAAAATGAGTGTTATTTCTGGGACTGTTTTCCCTCTGTTAATTGGAATTTAGCACACAATGAAACGAAAAGCAAATTTTAAGATTAAATTGCGAAATTACCATCCAATTTGGATAATTACAATTATTTTCTTAATTATGTATTGTCTTACCCGTTTATTTTTACGATTTTAAATTTATCTATTGAAGGAGAGTTTTTGTAAAACAATACTTAGTTGAGAAATGATTATAATTACCCAAATAAATAAAAAATTCGTAATTTGATCTTACCCCAGTGGTTAGTCGTAATTTGCCCTAAAATGAATCACATTAAAAAAATAAAAGAGAAAGAAAATTATTGGGTTTTCATTTTAAGCTCGAAATAATAGCAATGGAATTTGGAAGAGGTTTTTTTAAGGATTTTTTGCTATAAAAAGGGTCAAATGTTCCTTTTACATGTTTTTTTCTTCACTAAATATGAGTTGAATTTGATTAACAAAATCTTTATTTTTATTTTGAAATCTACATTTTACTCAATTCAGCGGTATAAAAACAATTTATTTAATATATTGATGTTCCAATTTATTTGAAATTTTAATGATAATTTTCTTTAAAAGCGCTTTCTTTTAATCAATAGGGGGTGATTACAATTTGTTAGTAGATGTTTAGGGATATAAATTGAATGAGTCGGACTGTAATTATTACTTAAAAAAAGGTTGAAACAAAAGTTGTATGTAATTCAATTAAACCATACTATGCTAAGTACATATAATAAACTCAACCTAACAATAATTAACAAATGAATTCGAAATTATCAATTGACACAATCACAGTTGTTCAGAAAGCAGTCCCTTATTTGAACTATTTCTAAATAAATTAAAGGGGCTTACTATTCATAGTGCAATTTTTTCCGGTTACAGTGCGAAATAATTCATTTGTCAAAAAACCCTTTAACATTTTTCGAAATCCTCTCAACCTCCGAATTTTAAAACTTACCAAATCGTCAAATTTGTCCGATAGTATCATTTAGAACACAATAATTATCAAGAAGTATGAAACCTAAATCGATTTTGAGATTAAAAAATGTGTTTTTTGTCGATTTTCGACATTTTTATGAATTTCGTGTTCTGTTGCACGAAATGAAACACTCCATTTCGTGCAATACAACACGAAATGCTTTATTTTTCAGAATTTTGTATTGTTTCGTGTAAATTTACACGAAATGCAAGCTTGCATTTCGTGTAAATTTACGTGAAATACAAGCTTGCATTTCGTGTAAATTTACAGGAAATGCAAGCTTGCATTTCGTGTAAATTTCCAGGAAATGCAACGTGAAATCACTATTTTTTTTAATTACTCCATTTTTAACACTCAAATAAATACAAGAGAATAACAACAAACTTAAAATGAAATTCAAATACTAAATAAACTAAAATTCAAATGTAAATACAAATTAAAATAAACCTATATTTCGTAAACTACGTGCCATACTTTAATATAATAACGATATACACAAATCCATAAGACATTGCATAGTATTCATAACAAAAAATATACATTGCAAAATCTACAACCAAACTACAAAAATTATATGGTTTACATGCTAAAATATAAAAAAAATTAATAGTAAACAGACCAATTTCTTTAAAACAATAAAGAAAAAAGTTAAGTATTAAAAGTGTATGATTTATGGTCATTTAATTTGTAATATTCATCAATGTAATTATTATTATTATTATTCTTATTATTATTATAAGATTTAGGATCGTATGTAACTAGTGTTTGTAATCAAAACCTATAATTTTAGCATAATTTAGTTTTATTCTTAAAATATATGTTTTTATAGCAAATCGAATCCTAAATCTTATGAATCAAATTGTGAGATTCTTGTTCTTGTTCCTACATAAAAAAATCGTATTAAATAATGTGAAATCCCTTAAAAAAATGAAGTTATTTAATACGATTTTTTGTTATGCAGGAACAAGAACAAGAATCTCACGATTAAAGTACGGCCCGTAGTTTACGAAATCTTTATTTTGATTTGTATTTACATTTGAATTTCAGTCTACTTAGTATTTGAATTTCATTTTAAGTTTGTTGTTATTCTCTTGTATTTATTTGAGTGTTAAAAATGAAATAATTAAAAAAAATAAAAAAATAGTTGTTTCACGTTAATTTACACGAAATGCTCAAATAGCCTGTAAATTACCTTTTTTTTCAAGTTTTTATTGAAAAAATATACACAAATATATTTATATATATTATTAATATTCCCAAAATAAATACGGAACTCTTTCTTGAATCGACAAAAAAAATTATTGATAAATACATTTACAATAATGAAAGAAAACAAGAAAGAATTAATAAAGAAAAGAAAAATTCAATTCCGTTTATTTCGACTATAAAAAAGCTACTATTAATTTTTTTTTATTTTAGCATGTAAACCATATAATTTTTGTAGTTTGGTTGTAGATTTTGCAATATATATTTTTTGTTATGAATACTATGCAATGTCTTATGGATTTGTGTATATCGTTATTATATTAAAGTATGGTACGTAGTTTACGAAATATAGGTTTATTTTAATTTGTATTTACATTTGAATTTTAGTTTATTTAGTATTTGAATTTCATTTTAAGTTTGTTGTTATTCTCTTGTATTTATTTGAGTGTTAAAAATGGAGTAATTAAAAAAAATAGTGATTTCACGTTGCATTTCCTGGAAATTTACACGAAATGCAAGCTTGCATTTCCTGTAAATTTACACGAAATGCACGTTGCATTTCCTGGAAATTTACACGAAATGCAAGCTTGCATTTCCTGTAAATTTACACGAAATGCAAGCTTGTATTTCGTGTAAATTTACACGAAATTCAAGCTTGTATTTCGTGTAAATTTACACGAAATACATAAAAAACTAAAATACTATGGTTTCGTACATCGTAAAAAAACACTATTTCGTGCTTCTTTGCACGAAATGCTTCTATCCATTTCGTGTTAGGGAATACGAAATACTCATGCACGAAACACGGTTGGAAAAGGGTTTGAGAGAAATGTGGTTTTTTTCTTGAAAAATTACAAATGAAATAAAGTCGCACTGCAAGCCGGTAAAAGTTGTTCTATGAATAGCATTTCAGTAAATTAAATTTAAAATTCTTTCTAGGAATCTCCTTTCTAACATCATCTCCAACAAACAAAACGTCAATTTTTTTTCTCTCTCTTGTTTCTCTCTCTACCTCCGCACGCACACAGTGACTCAGTCCACTCAGCCTCTCTCTCTTTCGCCTAAAAATAAAATCTTTACCAAAACCCCATCTTCTTCACAGTAGAAAAAGCTTCCCCAAATCCCTTTTCTTCTCACTTCAATTTCTCCAACCCTAACCCCCAAATCGTCTTCAGATGGGCGGAAATGGAAAGCTCCGCCGCTGGAGAATCTCCTTCCACAGATCTTCTTCCGCCAGTAAAGAGCCGCCGCCGGAGTTCCTCTGCCCGATTTCCAACTCCCTGATGTTCGATCCCGCCGTCGTTTCCTCCGGCCAGACGTTCGAGCGCGTGTGCTTGAACGTCTGCCGAGATTTACGCTTCACCCCAACCCTCGCCGACGGCTCGACTCCCGATTTCTCGAACGTGATACCTAATATAGCGCTCAAGGCCGCCATTCTCAACTGGTGCTCCAAATCCGGGTCGGACCCCCCGAACCCGCCCCTGTATTCCGATATCGAATCAGCCGTTCGCTCTCTCAGGGGCTTCTCCGAGAATCGAGAAACTTCGAATTCGGAAAGGGATTTGCTGAAGTCCGTCGCTGAAAACCCTCAGATTTTGTTCTCGCATTCTGCGACGGAATTGAACCAACGGAATTCGTACAACTCTTCCTCCAGCTCCGAAGAATCCGTCATCGCCAACACGATGACGATGACGCCGCTTCTGCCGTTTGCCACCCGGCCCTCTTGCTTTTCGTACTCCTCTTCCCCGTCGACTTCGTCGGAGTTTATAAACTCCGACGAGGCTTCGTCGAACAATGCGTCGTCTAGTTCGTCAGGAGAAGACGAGATTTTCGTCGCTAAAATGAAAAGTCTAGATATTTACGAGCAAGAGCAAGCCGTGATTTTGTTGAGGAAGACGACGAGAGCCAACGAGGAGGTGAGAACGGTGCTTTGCTCGGAGAAACTTTTGTTTGCTCTGAAGCAGTTGCTTGGTTCGCGATACGACGCCGTTCAGACCAACGCCGCGGCGGCGCTGGTTAATTTATCACTTGAGAAGGGTAATAAGGTTAAAATTGTGAGAGCCGGAGTTGTTCCGGCGCTGATCGACGTTCTGAAGAACGGGTTCGAGGAGTCACGGGAGCACGCCGCCGGCGCGATTTTCAGCCTGGCGCTGGAGGACGAGAACAAGACGGCCATCGGCGTGCTCGGCGCGCTGCCGCCGCTCCTTCACGAGCTGAGATCCGGGACGCGGCGGAGCCGCCGCGACGCCTCACTGGCGCTGTACCACCTGACGCTGGTGGGGAGCAACCGGGCGAAGATGGTGAAGCTCGGAGCCGCCGGAGCTCTGCTGGGGATGCTGAAGGACCCCGAGGTGGCGGCGCGTGTGGTGCTGGTGGTGTGCAACCTGGCGGCGTGCGACGAGGGCCGGGCGGCGCTGCTGGACGCGAACGCCGTTCAGTGCTTGGTGGAGGCGCTGAGGGATGGGGCCGAGTTGGACTCCGAGTCGACTCGGGAAAACTGTGTGGCGGCGCTGCACTCGTTGAGTCATGGGAGCTTGAGGTTCAAAGGACTGGCGAGGGATGCTGGGGCGGCGGGGGTGCTCCGGGAGGTGGCGGAGAGTGGCGGCGATCGGGCGAGGGAGAAGGCGAGGAGGATTCTGGAGGGGCTGAGGGGGCCGGAGGAGGGGGAGGAGGGAGATGAGGTAGATTGGGAAGCAGTGATGAAAGGTGGAGTGACTCGGGGGAGGTACCGAGTTGGGATGAGTCATGCTCCTAACTCGACCGAGTTCTGAGCTAAGATGGGTATTAAAAAAAATCTAAAATGTAATTAATTAATTAATTAATATTAAAATTTATTGGTAATTTTGTTGGAGCTTGTCAATATCTCTAATGGTTAGCTTTTTTTCTTTTTAATTTTTAAATATTTTTTATCATCTTTATTTTTTGGATTGGGGCCAAACATCTTTGTTTCTTGTAGGAGAAATAAATTTTTAATACTTTTAATTTAGGATTATGATAGTGAATGTTATAATATTGTAAATGAATATAATTATGTATATAGTTGAAGAATTCAAGTTGACTTTTTTTTCTGAAATTGTTGGCTACTTTTCTAATTTGTTTATATTTTTTATCAATAAACAATTAACATGTCAAATGTGTTGTGCTTGAATTAAATCATTAATTATGTTTTATTTGATTGAACTATTAAGTTAAATTTGGTTTTGAGACATGGGCCCACATGCACAAAAAGATGAATATAGGTAATAAAGCATAGAAAAATGAGTGGCCAAATATTGTTGAGGAACGTAACACAAATGACTAGGGCCCGTATGGAACATGTCACAAGTACGGGCGGCAATCTGACCATGTGAACCGAGTCTATATACGCTCAAACTCAAATCAAGTCACAAGTACGGGTGGCGTTTGGCCATGTGAACGAGTGTATGTATGGTCAAACTCAAATGCCGTTGGATACTATCGAACTTTGTAGTTATAAGCTCAAACGCTGCTCATATAATATTTTCGGATTTTGGGTTTTAAAAATTCATGTATATAGTCCAATGTAATACAAATATTCGTAAAATTGCAAAAAAAAAAAGAGTTTTTTATAATGATTTTTTTATTTTATAATCTTTGCAAATTTAAATAACTCAAAATCAATGAAAAACCTAATTATTTGTTACTACAATACTTTTGAAAACAACTATAATGGACGAATGTAAGTTCAAAATATCATTTATCATCAAGTGTTTTTGTCAGTTACTATTAATACTTAATTGTATAAAATATATGTCAATAAGTATGTCAAATAATAAAATTAATAAATTTTAAAATTTCTTATTCGATCGGGTCTTATTCGGGTTGAGCCATAATAAGCTCAAACTCGGCTCATAAACTTTTCGTATTGATAAAATGACTCAAACTCGGACAGACTCATAGTTAGTTAGGCTTGGTTCAAATAAAATCGAACCAAACAACGGGCTTCGAGTAGGCCTGACTCAATTGCCTGTCCTAGTCAGAAGTATATTTTAAAATATTTTTGTAATGAAATTTTATAATCTGAATATTTTCTTTAGAAGCTAACTATTTAAGAGTTTAGTATTTCACTAAGTTTAATAAAAATAAAAATAAAAATCTACTTGGTTAGTTGTTTTACATAATTTGTTTTATCAAAAAAAGAAGAATAGATAAAATTACAACAGGAAGAAAAAAAACTGTCGCACATAATTTATCAAGCATTAGCCAAATAATAACTCTAAAATGGAAAATCAGATGAACTAAACTAAAAGAATTATGATAAAAAAAAAAAAAAAGAAAAAAACTAAAAGAATTAAAAACCACCTTGGTCAAAATTGGAGATGTTGGGAGAATCTACGATTTTGAAATCAAACCGTTGCCAAATTGGATCTGACTGAAGTTTCGAAATTGGGAATTGTTAAGACACCAAGGAATTTTGACTTTCAAGTCAACACTCCAGCCAAATTGTGTTTAGGTATTGAAAGTAATATACTAATACCTAAATTTTCTTCGGTCAATTTCCCATTATATTCTTGATGATCCAGATTAATTTAATTTCCAATAAAGTCATGCGAGCAACTTTTGCAAACAAGTTTAGAAAGAGACAGCTTCCTTAGTGAGAAGATCGGTTACAATTAGGCGAGACGTGACAACATTTAATGCACGTTTCATCGGATGATAGGTTTAGAGAATGTTTGCTACTTTCGGCTTGTGCAGCTATTGTACTATTTTACTATCTTACTATTCACCTGTAATGACAGAGTTAACACAATTGAAATGTAATTTCGCATCCTGAGATATTTTGACTTGAAGTGATGGGACAGGTTTAACTGGATTGAGGAGGAATTTGACGTCCGAACAGTCTTATATAAATATCAGATATCATGGGCCGTACTAGGTAAGAAACCTACAACTCAACAACTTATAATAAAAAACGAGAATTTTTTTTAAGAAAATTACTGATTTGACCGTCGGAGTGCTAACCTCAGCCTAAGTTCGAATTTCTTCTCTTTTTTGCAGATCTTGTTTAAGCCTGCCTAAGGCACACTCCAATAACCCATCAAGAATATGACTTCATCACTTGAGAATCTTTCTTACACCTTTAAACCCACACCTAAAATTTCAATTCGAGAGCCCTAATCAACTTAATCGATGTATTTTTCTCCTTTTTATTATCAGTAAAACTAAATAAATGCATGTTTAGATTAGATTATAATGAATTATAGGTATAAATTTCATTTTCTTCGAAAATTGTCTCTCATGCTTAAGTTGCACACACTACAACATTTAAGGCTTTATACGACGAAAAAAAACCGTCGGGAAAAGTGAAAAAACCGTCAGGAACATTATTCGTGACGGTTTTCGACCGTCACAAAACCGTCAAAAAAAAGGCCGTCGTATATACTTCCACGTGTAAAAAAACCGTCAGGAATAATATTTCTCGACGCTATGATAACCGTCGTAAATACTCGTACATATTTTCAAAACCGTCGAGAATACATTTCTCGACTGTTGAAAACCGTCGGGAATACTGGTACATATTTTTTCAATATTTTTTTTTTGTAATCAATAAACCTTTACAAAAATTTAACCCCATGCCAAAAATTCGTATAATTTTCCAATATGAATATAAACCCATGCTAAAAATCACTCGGATTTCCCAAAACATGAATTCTTGCTTTCCAAAAATATACAATACCAAACTTCAAAAAATCTATCTTCAAAACAACACTTGAAGTAACCTACACAATACATTTACTTTCAAAGTCTACATATCCATAGTTCAACAAAATGTCCTTGCTCCCATGCTCCAATGTAAAATGTGTTCCTGAACAATCAAAGACGAAAAAAAAGTTAGTGTTCCCGAGTAAGCAAAATTCATGTTTTTAAAGCTTATAAAACTTGTTGTATACAAATTTTTTTGTGCAAAAGACCATGAAATTCTAAAACCCCAGAAAAAGTGGTTCAGCACATATGACAATGAGAACAAGAAAGTCTTTTTGAGATTTTTTCTGATATTCGGCGAAGAATGTTGCAACCCACAATTGCGATGCTAACCTAACCTACAAAATAAGAGACACCAGTGAGCTGCAATGCAAGAACTTGCCCTGGCATTATATCGTAAAAGCTACAGCTTGTACTATATAATATTTATACCGTAAATACATTTAGCAGAAACGAATACCTGGATAGAAGCATATTGTCACTAGCAATCCAATAACTTTACTAGGTGAAACAGGACATTCCGATACAATAGAGCAGGCCCTTTATTGTTGCCAATCTTTGATCTTAATCCCCTAATCTGTAAAGTTCATCATATAGTTTTCAGTGATAAAGTAGCAGTCGGCATAAAAAATTTGAAATCAGATAGCAAGGCTGGATAAAATTAACTCATCATATATTTATGAAAATATATTGAAATGGAGTAAGATATATCAAACCATTCCAACAACTGAACCATGGCAAGTCCTCCCTGCACATAATAAACGTATGTAAAATGAGTTTAATCATTTTTAAGGGTATAATCAACTCAACCATTTATAATTTGAAGCACAGCTAGGAAGAAAAGGGATTCTTAAAAAGGAGAAGTCACCATACCATACCATGTGCTATAGTTAGAGCATTGTATATATAAACATCCAGATACATGTGGAAAATGGAACAAAAAATTTACGAAGCAATCCAACTTTAATTTTTATAAACCGAGCAAATGAGTTTAGAACGACAAGTAGGAAACAGAGTTTATATAATGAACATAATAACAACAAAAGCTAGCGTTGGACCTGACTTAATTGCTTTCGCTCTTCTTGGCCATAAAAAATGCCTATATTTTCTGCCATCCAACAACTACAATAAACAAACAACACAGAGAGAGAAATCTAATGAATTTGATGAAGAAAAAATGAATCTAAAATCTGAATAATCAAGCATAGAGAAACTATTTCTCAGAATGTTAGCTTTCTTGAAATATATTTTTAGCCATAATCAGAAATTAAAAAATTATTGTTCTTGGGAGAGAAACGAAACCGTGTTGATATCCGAAAGGCCTCCTTCTGCAGTACCATGGAGAAAATCTGTTGCCACTAGCTAATGCTATACACGAGAATCTGTTTAGTGTCTGCAAATAATGTACACTTTCCGTAAGTAAAGAGAAGTAACGAAAAAGACATTAGTACGTTAAGTAAGCAGGTGAACTTACAGTGGCTGATACTTTTCCTTTGCTCAACTGAAATGAAGAAACGGAGCTAAATCAGAAGACAAATAGTTCTCAGCATGGTGTATATACTATCCCATTTTTTAGCCGTAACTCCAAATTAATTTGCACATTATCAATGGGATTTTATACCATATTACATGCTTGATACATAGACTTTCTAAACAAATCTCAAACTTGAAGAGTTCAAGATAGGTTTATTTTACCACTTTGGTCTCGGGGAAGATTGCACAAGTATTTCGGTAAACAAATTCTTCGAAAGCATCCTTCAAAACACAATCATTGGTATCATAAGAAAAGTAAGTAAAATAAATTGTCATTGTGCACAAACTGAGAAATTAACAACACTAGTAAACAAAAAAGTTGGAAGAATCAAAAATTGAAACCTATGGAAAATTAGCAAACTGTAATTAAGTAAAATTCTAAAAATCAAGTCATAGATTCTCACAATCTGCAAACTCTTGTTTCAAATCCTAGCTTGACCCCTTAAATTCAAGCAATCAAATTAACCTAAAAATCACTTGTCAGCTTCCTATACTGAATTCCACACGGATGGAATGAGATCAATTAATATAAATGGAAAATAATAACAGAGGAGACTAACCTGTCACGCAATCCACGGGCGATTCAAAACACTTGAAGAGTTGAAAGATTTTCGCCTGTTTCAATTTGTCATCACAATGATTAGTTCGATCCTGAGGGAAGAAATAGCAACAGAGATGTCGGCTCGGCATTTGCGGCAATGGCGGAAGCGGAGGCGGAGGTACGGCGTCGAAGAGAAGTTAATATTCAGAGAAAAGCCCTAATCGAAGGTTAGAGGGAGATTGTATCGGTCTGATTATAAATGAAAAATTGAGAGAAAAAAGTGATGTTAATAATGTTAGAGATTAATAATTTATATATTATATAATTAATTTTTGTTGACGGTTTTTAAGCGTCTGAGAACATTTTTAAAAACGTCAAGAATTACTTTTACTTGACAGTGTTTATGTGTCAAGATTAGTTTCAAAAGCGTCAAGAAACGCACTTTATACAATGGTTTCGAAACCGTCGGGAATAAAAAACGTCGCAAAAGCCCTAAAATGTTGTAGTGACACACGAATCATACATAATCGTCGATCAAAATTACTGGAAATAAAAAATGTCTCAAAAGTCTTAAATGGAAATGTTGTCCCAAAATCAGAAACTTCCGTTTATTGAAAGAGACATAATTCAAGAATTCACTTCCAATTTTCACCCTCAAGGCTCAAAGAGGAACGAAATTAAATTAAATTAAATTATTGAAATCATATATGTATATGTGCATAAAATACACATAAATTCCCATACACCATGGTGTAACATTTTATTTCAATTTGTACAATGCCTTGATACCTTTAATATCATCCGCATCCAATTTCTTAGTTTCACCAAGATGTACTAATGGATACATAACTGCATTTGCATCACTACTATGACCAAGCCCAAGTATATGGCCCAACTCATGCAGCCCAACCGTTTTTATATCGAACGCATTTCTTTCCCCTTTGTTGGACCATTTTAGCCCCGCGTCGAAATGGACCTCTCCGATCGGTGGCGGGTAAGAGTGGGCCACACCCCCTATCGGCTCGGGCCCACCAAACGGAAGATCGTCGCCGTGTTCCCCATGCAAGAAAAGTATCCGGACATGCGCTCCATCAAATTTTCTCGTAGGTTCGAATTTAAAATTTGTCACTGAAGCCCATTCCTTAAATGCGAGCTCTATGGCCAGTATAGCTTCTTTTGGGGTGCTGGCGCTGAACGCGTACTTGAGTATTCTCTTTTTCCATCTGGGTTGACCAGGCAAAAACGCGTAAAGAGAATCCGTAGTAAGAAATTTTACATTTTTACAACTGTGATTGTAAAAATCGGGCATCGCACATCGGGGCTTGTGCATTTTTGCTACTGTCTTGGAATCGAGAATTCCCGTGACGTTCAGATTGTAGAATTTTTGGTACTTCTTAAGGGCGAGTTGTAAGGGCTTATCGAAAATGTTGTTACTTTTGATTTTTTGATTATTGGAACAATTGTTGCGATTCAAGTATCCGAGATACGTGAGGTATTTTTTGAGCTCAACTACCCCTTTAATTTTGTCGCCTTTTTGGACTCTCAAGGGATTCAAAAATTTCATGTTTGATGGAATTTTGATGCTTGAAACAACGTAGGAATTGATGAAAAAAACGAGAAAAATGTGCGCAAATACTAATTGGGGTGCCATAATATTCAAATTTACAATGCAAAGTAGAACGAACTTCGTTTGATTATTTGGAGTCGATCGAAATGGGGTTTTAATGGCTTAGGTTGGAATCTTTAGACCAAAAAAGTTTTTGAGATATATAACGCAATAAATAGCAAGATAACGATAATGAAATAAGTGAAGTTAATTGGCAAATAGCATTAAATCCTTTCCACCTAAAATTAAAAGAATTTTGCGAAATGGGAAAAAGGAAAAAGAAAAATCTCTAAGAAATAGCGGGCTTTGTAGATCGTAGATCGTGCACTGGATGAGTTGAGAATACACGTGTATGGTGATCGCAGTACTTGATAAGGTTCACCGGATGTAGATTGTATTCGAATAAACCAGAAATAGAGGAGGAAGATGGTGTTTGATTGAGTACGTGTTTTTTTTTAATACCAGTGAAATCTGTCCGTCTCGCCATACAAAACAACGTCGTTTTGTTTCTATTATGTAGTATAATAAATAATACATGAATAAAGTAACTGTTACATGTCAAAAATTATATCTATAACAACGGCATTGTCTTTTTTGTTCTATAGATATCTATTATTTTAAGTATTGTCTTATAAAACTTTGATTTTAGTTACTCTCTTTAATGAATTTATGGTTAAAACGTACTATTTTGATTTATTTTTGACATCTATCATTGGTATTATTCACGTTGGTTTCAATTGAAGATTTAACGTTTGGTCATTCATTTTAATTTCTAAATATATAGTTTCGTGTAAAACTTATAAATTATTAGGAAAAAAAACATGTTTAAACTATAACATGTTTCGATCCGTGAAGGTTAGGTCCTACTATAAACCCGCCATAGACCCGTCTATCCTAAACCCGTCGAAAAACCCACAAATTCAGTTCTTTAAATCAATCAAAAACTAGTGTACTAAATATCGGTCGTGGCGGCCGATATATCGACCGTCATATCGGTGGCGGACATAAACCTTTACGATACTTGTGTGACGGTTTTGAAAACCCTTTTTTTGACGGTGAGGTGGTCCGAGGCGGTGTGTGGCGGGTCAAACCGATATATCGGGTCAAACATCGAGCGATATATCGGAAAAATATTTTGTTTCTAGTTTTTTTTATTTTTTTATTACAAGAAAAATATGGTGCTTATTTTTTATTATTATTTTTTTTCAATTCCAACAATCATCTCTTTCAATCAAACCCAAATTCACCGACCGCGTAAGAAGAACCTGGCCTTAAAAGAACACAAAACAATCCACACACCGCGACGACATTCTCTATCTCACTATTAATGTTAAAGTTTTGTTATGTGATTTGAATATATAAACGATGAAGAGAGAATCATGTTTAATTGTTTTTATACGTTTTTAGTATTTACAAATAATATTTAGAAATATATTACACTAAATCTAAGAATCGATTTATTTCTGACATATCTCCGATTAATTACCGTCGTACCGATTTATCGTGTGGCGGTCCCTAACCACCTCGGACTCGATAGCCGATATTTAGAACCCTATCAAGAACCATTATCTAATTGGACATCGGTGACTTTTGCTAGAACTTGCGGATTTATGACCCGCGCACAGCCCCTGCTAATTAATACTATGTTTTCTTGTAGTGCGATGATTGTAATCCCTTAATCAGTCATGTACTCATCATGTAAGATCTAGTCACTATTTTACTCATGTAAGATCTACTACATATCTCTTTTAAATCATGTTAGAACCTAACACTTTGAAATATACTCCAACTAATAGACTCGTGATGACATCTTTGAAAACCCTAATTTCAAAAACCAACAACAAAAAAAAAATCACCATTTTCTCTTTTTTCTTTTTTTGCTTTTTTAAATTTAAATAAATTGTATTATAATTGGTAATTAAATTAAGAAAGATCGGAACTCGAACCTCCCCTCACTGTCGTCCGTCGATCGGAAAAGCCTACGGCCACTAATTAGCTAGTAAAAAGTATAAAACATAATGATGAATTTGAAAGAAATTAATATCAATTGTCAACTTCATCTTGTGGTACACATATATGGTTGTTCTTAGCTACGCCAGTTTTGTATATGCTATTTAATGCATTTTAATCTCTAATATAGAAAATTCTACAGCACGAAAACCGGAATTATTAATACACAACACATGCCACTGCCAAATTTAAATAAACAAACGTACTGTAATAATAAAATCTGCAACAATCCAGACATGATGATATATATAATATATATAATCAATTCTTGAAAATTAATTAATTAGATCCACTAATTAAATAGATCTAATTAATTAAGAAATATTACATATTCTTGCATAATATCAATCAGTGTTTAATTTCTTATGATATTAAAAAAACAAAAAAAAAAAAAAAATCAAACAGACAAACTCAGAACTTATTTATATGAATATATGAAATCACAAGAGATTTCGAAAAACCCCACATGGCTTAGCTAAATTATAATATAATGAAGCAGCAAACACAAACCCTATGCTAATTAATGCAACGATAAAACATTCGGACCGAGATGCTTGATTCCCCAGAGAGAGAGAGAGAGAGAGAGAGAGAGAGAGAGAGAGAGAGAGAGAGAGAGAGAGAGAGAGAGAGAGAGAGAGAGAGAGAGAGAGAGAGAGAGAGAGAGAGAGAGAGAGATGACTGTTTGAACCTTGGAGATAAGATTTAGAAGGTCTTTTGAGCATATAGCTGTCTGTCTTCTCTCTGATCTTTATTTATGGATTAGGGTTTTCGTTGATCAAGGAAGGGAATAAAGAAGATCAAGATTTTATTTTCTTGATCTGGTGGTGGTGGTGGGGTGGGTCGGGGAGGGGGGTAGGGGGTGGTGGTGCAATGATGGTGGTGGTGGTGGTGAAGAGTCAGAAGATGAGTGATGAGGAAAGTTGAAGCCATGATTATTATGATTGCTGTTTTTTTTTTGGTGCTGCTGCAGCTCATATATATCAATGAATGAATGAATGAATGAATATTCCTTTTTGTATATATATATATACATACATACACTCTCTCTCTCTCTCTCTCTCTCTCTCTCTCTCTCTCTCTCTCTCTCTCTAACTCTAACATATATGTATGATGCTTTCCTTGACCTTTCAGCCCTAGTTGGACCTAGCTAGGTGTCACATTTTGTCTACAAATTTGACCTATTTCACTTTCAGTTTTAACTAATATACTTCAATTACTTTTCATATATAGTAATAATCTTATGATAAGGAATTAAGTGAAGTTATTAATTATTGTATAGTTATGTTTTTTTTAATCCATTATATACGCGCGTTGTATGTATACGAGGGTCTTGGTGAAACATATATACATACAATGTCGTTTTATACTTTAATTAGACGATGTATCTACGTACAATCGTACACACATGACATACATGCATGTGAATGTGTGCAGGTGAGTAATTGTACTCAGATGCCACCCGATGAAGTTCACTAGATGTAACATCGAACATATCTATGTATACGAGATCACCTACCGATTATATTTATAAAATTGCATAATTTATAGAACAATATCTAAATAAATGTACCCCCAAAACAAAACTAATTATTAATTTAATGGCAAGTACTACAATAAAGATGTTTTGGTTGGATATTATGAAAATTACGGCCACCCCTTGACATAAGATCAAATTACGAAAACCGCCCTCATGGTTGGTAATTACAATGCAACCACCCCTTCAACCATGAATCTTCTTAGACGTTCACTCTTACGGTGTCAAAATATAATGGAATCTTTTAGATTATGTGGAATATTCTCCAATTTGTACCTGTTTTACCCCATTCGAACTCCACATTTGGAAATAAGATGATCATAAGTTGTGTCTCTTAGGCTTAAAAATATCAGATTGTAGTGCATCAGAAACTCATTTTTGCATAAAACGAGTACAAACTAGAGAACATTCCACGGAATCTAGAAAATTCAGATGAATTTGACACCATATATAAGGGTGGACGTTTAAGAAGATTCATAGTTGAGGGGTGTGTTTGTAATTACCCAAACATGATGGGCTTTTACGTACAATTTTTGTTGGTTCTTTTTTTTTTTGTTTTGGGTTATAGCAAATAGAAAAGGCTGTTTGTGTCTGTATATAAGTGGGATAAGATGAATATGCTGATGATAATTCGCTTTATTGGGTTTAGGTAAAGATGGAATAATATAAGCAGCAGGAACTATATATAGAGACATAACATAATACATTAAAGAAAACAATGACACACAATTCTTGAAATAAAAATAATATTAAATAATTAACTGAGCTAAGGGGAAAGAATATTTCTGGGCAGAGTAAGAAAGAGCTGGATCAGTACTTTATTATATACATATATGTATATATATTGATTTGTGTTTGTGTATGTTTTGTTTCTTGAAAACTAGCTCTGTAAAAGTGTGACACAATAAATATTCCACTTTCACTGCTTCTGTTGAAGAAAGCTTTGGGGAACAACATAAATAATTATAACATCTTATCAGCTTTATTTTTTCTTTATATAACCAACGAGTTCGAGTTATGTGTAAGAACAACGAATAAGAGGGAGTTTTTAATGTTTTTTATTAAGTTTAATTATTGTGCACTTAAATCTGATCAGTCAGTGAAATGCATATTAAACACAAGTTATTAATCCGTTTACTAGGTGATTATTGATACTATC